GACTCAGTACTGCTATTCCCTCGAAAGAGTGAGGCACCAATTTGCTGACCCCAGAGGGATAAATGGCTAGATGAGCCAGACGCGGGAATCTAACCAACAACCACGTATATATTGCACGGAACCTCTAACCACTGTGCTATACAAATCGCAATATGTGGTAAAGGATATACAAATCGTGCATCGCACGACGCCGTCAGTTGTTTCCTCTCGGCACCCTTATGCATATGTGCAATTTAGGTAGATCGCTCATATATGTATGCGAATATTGTACATATGTGTAGATAACTTGAAGGACATGTGTACATTTTTCTATACTCTCCTGCCGTACATGCCGTAAACCTCGAGTTATGAAATGAAGCAATGACACGGAAACCTTTTGGTGTTATTGCTGAGTGCTAATATACATTTCTCACCGAACAATAGAGTAAAGGTTCAAGTAAACCGCTCGCGAACTTACGTGATCGCCATTTAGCATAATATTAACAGAAAAACAAGTAGCAGTTCTAAAAAATTATAAATCTCTCGGCGTTGAATAATCTCTGAGAAGCACCATGCATTTGCCCAATTTTTAGCTTCGTTCGAGATGATTGAATGCCTATATGGCCATTACAATGACTCTGGTGGCCCTCAAGTGCACAAGTCAGTGCTATCATCTTCCCAGACATGTCTGGTACCATTTCACCAACCCAGGAAGGATGGAAAGTAAGGCGAGACTCATGCGCGGAATCAAACCAGCGACCCTCGATTAAGCGACCGTGTATTTCAAAGAGCACCTCTAATCACTATAAGCCATGACGCTCTCGAGAAAAAGCAATCAAACAGCGGTTTTTCCAAACTTTTTGATTGGATTGCACTTCGAATAGTCCAGTTTGAGTGACGATCTAAAATAGTGGGATAAAACATGGGCTCGAATTTCAATTTCGATTTGATGCGTGAGAAGGTAATTGTTATGGGTAGGCGTTAGAAAACGGCGAAAGCATCATTCTCGAGGAAGGAAAATAGAAAGGAAAAAGACAACGAAATGTAAGCAGGTATATTGCATAAAGAAATATCTGAGGTTTTGGGGAAGAATGAGTATGAGCGATAAAAGATCGATGGATTGAAAAAATGAAATGGAAGAGTGAAAGAAGATAGTGAGACAGTGAAAAGTAGAAAATGCGAGATGAAATTAAATAAAGGAAGAAACGACAGGTAGAGAAAGAAGTGACAAACAGAATGCCGTTATATTATTCGAAATCAATGTGGAGGACTGCAATGAAAAAAAGAAAGTTTCTCATAGCAACCGAAAGCAGACAGAAAAAGTTTAGTGTGTCGGTCAGGTTTGGAATAGCGTGTTGACGACGCTCGTTAAGGCTTTTTTCAATAATGAGCACCTCTGAAGAGCGTGGACGTGATGGATTGATGGTAAAAATTTTAGTATGGAATTCGATGAGAACTTATTGGAAAACTAAAACAATGGGAAAGCGAGAAGAGAGTTTTAGAAAGTAGCAGCGTCGACAAACATTACCAGCTCTAATGAGGGGCGCAATCGGAGACACCGTTACGTACTAACATAAGAAATCTTCATTCAATCTTCTGCTGCTCTACAGAGCATTCTGCTGCCGACACGCAAAAAATTAGAGTAGTTGACTTCAACAGACCAGAATTTAATCTTGATATTCAAAAGATCTTGCTTCTCACTGATGGAGACCATGAAAACGTCATTTCATTAGATTTAGAGGTACTTGTGATTAGAAAGATATGTCTATTCTGAGTCGATAGCTTAGATTTCTATGACCGAGTCTGCATATAACCTCTATGGAAATGCCTATGCCATCAGTTGAACTAATATTTGAGCATTTAATTTTTAAAACGAATACAATTTGCCTTGTATTGAAAACGTAATCACTTCCATAGAAGGGAAGTACACGACCATTGTTTTATTTTGGATAGTGTACTACAATGAAGTTGGGATATATACTATTGATAATGTTGTCCTTTATTACGCAGATGAGCTAGTCTACACAAGAGCTATCTTCACGCCGCGCAGAGCTCACCAACCCCGCATTCATTCAAAGTTGGGAGAATCGATACCGATTTCGCTTGGGATTTCATTTTTATAGTTCACAAAAAATGTTAATTGTCTGTAATAAACTCTGGGAACACCCGAACTCGGCATTCACGATATTGAACACAAACTCAGCTCTATTTCCTGAATCATTTTATACTTCAACGACATTCGTAAGATCTTGGAAAAGCAGCCGCTAAAGGTAAATGTTGTTTAACAAAGCTTTGTGGATGATGCACAACGAAACGTACCAAATGCAACGGACCCTCATATCACGTGTTACGAGTTAGTGTAAAAATGGGCTCCTGTTTTACTGACTGGAATGAGGTAATAGTGTCATTGAGTTGTTGCTGAGTTAAATGATCAAGAGCACAGCATGCCGTCAGAATGATAATAAAACTACTACATCATCTGCATCTAGCGATCATTACGTTATATCAGTAGCACTGCATTTCATAGAATCGGACCGAGAAAACTCTTGAATAACACGAAGTCGTTCCGATGCAACAAGAACTGTCGTCTACAAAAGAACATCGCTGTATGATAAAGGTTCAATCAGGCAATACCTTATTCTACTCAATTTTACCAATTCGACGACTACGGAGACAATATTGCAAGAAAAGGCAGTTGATCATGACATTCTGCTTAAATCATGGCGGCTCTGATTAAAGCGAATCGCTAAAACATTAGTTATAAGAACGATTTGTAACAACCTTGTGCAAACTTATCAATAGCCAGAACAAGTAATTCTTTTCCCGAAAGTAATACTTAGTGACCGCCATAAAAATTTTATTATGAGGCCCCATAGAACTCAATCTCTTCTACTGAATAAAAAAATATTTGTGTGGTTTGCGTATAATTGTGTTGAGTGGTGAACGAGGATCACAGACCGTCGTCATTGCGTTATCGTCTATGTTGAGAATATTGAGTGTAACTGATACATTTTACAACAATGGAAACGTCTAAGATAACCCTGAACTACGGTTAGCTTTTGTGGTTACAATTTTCAAAAGATGTCCTCTTATTTATGATTGTGCAGCGATGGAAGATGAACAGTGTAATACTTGTAGACGAACTTGGCAGAGAAGAAGGTTATGTAAGAGATTCTCTATTGGCGTATGCTTGTTTTAGTCGAGTGTTACACTGAAAGCGTTGCTGTTAAAATCAGAATAGCTGTTTATCCAGTAGACCTTATGAGAATGGTCAATCAAGTGTCATTACAATTACTTGCCCTTATCAAATTGAAAGCCATTTCTCTACGTTCTGGTAAAGTCATGAATATCTGATCTTCAAATAACAACAGCGGTAATACAATCTCCATTTCTATTCAACAAACACTGTTCGATTCAGATGGTTACTTTGTTACGATTCCCGTTTGAAGGGTGCGATGTTGCATCCAGTACAAGACTCTCTAAGTGGTAGAGAAAATATCTGGATTCTTTCTGCTTTTGAGATATTGGATCCATCCCATCGCAATGATCGACTTCTTCTCTGGCGCACAGATAGCTGCAGTGGGCAGTACCAATTGAATATTGATTGAATTCATTTGGATTATTCATTAGAGCTCAAAGTCTTTGTTAACTCGTGATATTCATTAGTTACAGACTATCATTCAAAATGATATGTTTCATAATGTTATCTATTATGATAGATAGAGAAGAGCGCATGTGGCAAAGCGGTTAGCGGTGCTCTGCGTCGCACACGAGGTCAAGGTTCGATCTCGCGCTCATGGTTCACCAAGCCATCCATCCCTCCGGGGTCGGTAAATTGGTACCACACTGGTCTCAGACTTGCCTGGGAAGATAAGCAGCACTGACTCGGCTCAGCGGGAGGCTACGGCGAGTCATTGTGAAGGCCAGATATGCATTCACTCACCTCAAACGAAGTTAAAAATTGAAGACGAATGCATGGCTCATTCCTCACGGATTGATCAACGCCGAGAGCTTTATCCTTTATCCTTTATGATAGGTGGAAAAGTCAGTTTCCACCGAACCTTGGTTTGAATGGTCAAGACTATTCGGACTATCTCACGGACTATTTTTATAGCTTACGCCAGGTTAGTATATCTTCTTCAACTTCAAAATCAATGCCTGACGTTCTAGCGACTTCGCATTCCTCAGACCCTATTAACTACTTGTATGGTAAAGGTCACAGCTGTGCTACACATATGATTATTCAACAATCGACCATGATTAATCAACAATCAACTATAATAATAATCACAGTAAGGGTAACGCATTGGTGAGCTCTTCTATAAGTAGAGCTCTAAGGAGAGCGAAGTCGAAGCGTCAGACATCGATTTTGGCGGAGATATGACAAGCACGCGGAAGCTCTCAAAAAAGGGCAGCTCATGAGGTTTTTAATCATTGTGCTAATAGTCCTTCCATGGGGAGAAGAACAAAGCTACGAATTGGAGCTTTTTTCTAAATGAGTTTCGAAGTTGCGACATTTTTTTTCTCGCTTCCATTTATCTCCAGTTGCTATCTTTTTCACCGCCGACGTCTTCGCTTATGAGACCCTCGGGAAAATTCTCAGTGTCAGGCTTTCTTTTCTAGATACACTAGCATAGCATATTTATCATGTTTCTGCAGTTGACTAAGTTTCTGAGGGAATTAAGAGAGTAATTGTAGACGACTCATGCTCAGCAAGGACAAAGCGCGATTATTGGGGGACGGCCTCATTGATTCCAACTTCTTCTCAAAAACAACTGGCTACTTTATCATTTGGAATATCTGAACTGTCTTCTCCTTAGCTCCAATGCGTAGAAGGGCGACGTAAACGAAGAACATGTGCATGAAGAAAAGCAGGTTTCGCAGGAGAGCACTTCTCGTTTGCTAAGGTGTGCGTACTAGATGTAATATCAATCCGCGGCACGAATCATATGTGGATTTTTTGAAGAAATTCAGGATTGTTTCATATGTACCTAAAATAAATGAGTGGTGTGCAAAAATACGACCTCAGGCGGGAGTCGACCCCGGGTTTCATCCATACAGGGGACGCATGCTAGCACTACACCACAGAGGTACATTCGCGCCACCACTCATTCAGGAATGTCTCTGACTCGGAATTTTCTCCAGACGTTCATGGGCTTCCTTTTAGAAAGAGATTGATTGAAAATAATTCATTATGTTACAAAGATTGACAAACTCACACTAAAATAAAGATCACTTTCAGGAGGCCAGAAAACTCTGATTGTAATCGAGAGTCATTTGAAAAAATAGTTATTCCAGTTCATGACTGTGCTGGGATTCACTTCTAAGTTGTGGTTCGTACCAAGATTTCTCTTCACTAATTAATCGGCGTTGACTCTTCAGTCCAACTGTGGAAGAAAACGTGGAGTATTTATGAGGGAAGGACGAGTAATCTCGAACCAATTTCCGACCTAATATTGACTCTGTCGCGACGCCTGTGCTTGTAACGTCGGCAAACATTTTCTCAACAGGACTTAAACTGCATCCGATGTCCTTTCTTGAATAGACGTTTGCATTTTAATATGCCGTGTTTTTGTAATACGACGGCTTCTTTTTCGGTGGTTTGCAAAGAAAAATGCTCGTGATAAAGTGAACTCGATGAGAAGCGAAGACATTTGAACGGCAGTTGACCTGCAGTGACTTACTCAATGTGGCAAATGCTAAGATGCCTCGTTGGCCTGGTGCGTATGTTGCGAAATCCCATCGACATACCGGCAATGCGTGGTGGCCTGGTGCCACTGCTTCAATGCGCGACACCTAATTTTCTATTGGCTGTTACAGCTCGCCAAGTAGTCCTTTTGAAAAACCAGATACATCAGTGGAGTCGACAGAAGTCAGATTATCGAATGGTTACTAAAAGTCTAGGGGAAATGATTCTGCCCAGCGAAAGATGCGCCGAAGCGCAGCAAGTATGATACATAATGTTATTTTAGCTGTAACAGCGCAATAAAAGGTTATTTGTAGAACACAAGCATATTGTTGAAATGCTCTAGACTTGAGCTATCGGTCAAGCTACAGATCTACTTGAAAAAATTAAGAAAACTTTTTGCTTTCACGGTGATGCCGATAGTAGCATTAATTCGATTATGTGAAACCCAATCTTCTTCTAAGAGTTACAGAGCTGTAAGAAACGTTTTCTAGAGGTCACATATACTGCTGAAATCGACAAGATTATTTGGAGAAAATCTGATTCATAAATCCTTATTGTGAATGTTGACATTCTTCAATCCACTAGGGAACGCTCTAGCACGGCTGGATTGGGGTTCTTCAGAGAACTAATTCGACCAACTTTTAACGAAATAAATGATAAAGGCTAAAAAATCCTTCAACACCAGCAAAACTCACCGCAAAATGCCCAATATTCTCGTGGATGGTAATTAATGTGAGAAAGCGAATCAAAGTCATGAAGTGTTGGGAATCGCACAGAGTCATGTATGCGATGTTGGATGATCTAGTGAAAAAAGAGGTATTGATTAGGTTCATAGGGCGACTTTGATGGTGACGAATGTTTTTTTATGCTGCTTTATGTCTTTTCTACAATTCGTTCTTTCTCTTTCAACCATCCAACTTGAAAGTTCACTGAATTGAATCGGCTGGCGTTCGATCTTAACCCTTCAGGTAGGCTTTTTTCTTCTTGTATAGAGCCCAATTGTGTTGAGCGCCTCATGTATGTCGTCTCTAAAAAGAGGAAAACAAATTCGCAGCATGTGAGGAAAGAGATCCCACACCATAAGCCAAGTTGTCCACCAAAATCGGCAAGCAGATTGACGAACTAAAAACATTTTGGTACAAATCAGTTGTTCTTATTGCAGTAATTTTCAATAGAACAAGAAGCAATTACATACCCCATACGCCTCGGATTCAGTAAGCATTTCAAAGTTCAGTTGTTCGTAGAACACTTCCACCATTGCGCCGTTCTCTCTATAAGATTTGATCCTAATTTTGACGAGTTCTTGCAGAATCAACGTCACAAAATGAAAGAGGTTATGTAGATCTTTTCAGCGATCTGAGCCAATCATAAGCGATCAATACCGTTCTAATCTTCTATATCTTTCACATTTTCACTTTAATTTTGATTTTCATGAGTCCTAAATAGAATATTAAGAATTAAAATTACCAGCAATCTAGCGTCACACTTTATTCTGACTTGATGTGTTCACTACGAAATGATCAGTATAGCAAACCTCCCAACAGAGTTTTGCTATCTTTTTGGGAATACATGATAATTTAGGTAACGCAGATGGTCCACGACCTTAGAGATCAAGTGCTACCGCAGAGGTTCGAGGACCTTAGACAGAAAATGGTCCAAGTGGCGTGGGCGGCACCCAGCTGCCACCAACCTCAACAGGCAGTTCGATCACGGGGCATCATCCGAACGGTCGTCTGACTTCACCCGGACCACCTCACCTCATTTCATTGCCAACTCAATAATGCTCTCTCCACATAGTCTCGTTATCATGTAACTGATTGCTATCATAAGGTTGAGTTCATACAACTGTCACATGAACTCAATAGAATTGTAAGCGGAACATATCACTACGTGGCGAAGCAAGCTCACTTAGGCTATGCTCGGCCCACCACCGCGGTTAAGGGATTCTGCCCATATATAATCAGTAGCGACCCCACTGCTAACACTATATACTCACCCACTGGATCCCGCCGCCGGTGTTCTACTTGGGGGCGAACAGCAATTCCAAACGGGCTCCGCCGCCTAGTCATGCTCCGTTAATAACAACATCCATGGTATCGTCACACGACGATACATCTCATCAATTACAATCACTTATCCATATTATCGTCACAAAACGAAACATCACATTCACTGACATATGTTCACATAACGATATGTCGCAACCGTATCTATATTGTTCTTGTGATATTATTACAGTAATGTATGTATATTATAGGTTGTTTGGTGGTACCACTTCATTGTTTGGTTCTACCACATTGTTTGGTACAACGCCATTGTTTTGTAAAACCCATATAAAGGATTTGAACTGTGTGCTCTTGTCGGTTACAAGAGACAAGTTGGCAGAGACACGGTCACACAGACTAAAGTTCAGCCCGTAGCAACTTGGAAGTGCAACGAGTCACTTCGAAGGGCAAAAGGCGCCGCAATCCGGAAGTTCAACGCGTGACAGCACAAAGGTCAGTGCGCCGCTAAGGACAATCTAACAATATTCGGATATCGATCGGGTCACTGCCTGAGACAAGTTCAAGGACCACACAGCAAAAACCACTGAACCTCCACCACAATCAGAATAAAAGTAGAGAATCGATTAATGACCATATAATTTTTATTCAAATCTTGCGATACTCGAGATGTCATTTACAGTTTGAAGCTAACCATTCAAATATCTATATGAAAGGTTACTATCTGCTTCATTCAGTAACGTAGAGTAATGTGCAAAACTATTGCACCAAGGGGACTCGAATCGCCGACGTCATCACTCTATATCAGTGAGTGTATCTATATCATCATACCATCACTAAAAGCAGCCGAATAGTATCTGCTTTGCTAATGTGTAAATGCTCGGTAAATGTCTTACAAATAAACTTTTATTCAGACAGACAGCTGGCATGCAGCTAATGCTGCGCCCGCTCTCGTGTGGTTGGTCGCCGGTGAAAATTCTGTCCGCCGTTCATTCTAACAATAAACTCAAGTTTTGTGACATTGGTAATCCATGAAGATCAAAGTGAAGCACTCAGTGACATTGCTGTTCATTAGTTACTCTTGTATTGCGATCTAATACTACAGCATTCAAAGAAGAGACATTGCTAAAGCAAGAAAAAAAAATTACAAATGTCAACAACTAAAAACTTACTTGTAATGTTTATTGCATTCAGCATTTGAACCGTTGCATGAACCGAGTTGAATTTGAAGTGAAAGTGAAGGCCATTTTGCTGGTGAATACGTCACCGAATATATCGACTGTTTACAAGGTTGTTGGCACCTTAATTTTATAGTTGGATTTTGAAAAAAAAGAATGAATTGTACAAAGAAAAGTGAAAAGCAAAGAAAAAAAAGGGAAAAGAGAAGAATCAAAAAAGAACAAGTACAAAAAATTAGCGGTATCATTCTCTGAGTGAAAGGAAAAGGGAGCGCATGCGCCCATTGAATTATAAATCAAATAAATCAAAAGACATATTCTGCTTAGAGTAGTCAACGCGTAGATGTTGGCGTTTCTATACAAGGAAATCCATAGAATTCCAAACCTGCATCTAAAAGAACCATGAAGGCCGCCGAGTTCATTCATTCTGGCATCTAAGCATTTTCCTAAAAAAAATGAAATATCACTTATGAAGCATTCAGAACGGTTTCAACATTGCACTCCATTAAGCATAGCATAGCCAGATCACCTGTACATATAAGCTCTCCTAGGTAATGAGTAAGAGGGCGGGTGGCTCAGTGGTAATGGTGTTCACTAAGAGGACCATTCAACCTACTCAGGCTCGGTCTCACCAAAGACTTTAGTAAGCTTTTATTTCGAGTGCTTTATTAAGACCACGCTCAAATTCCAATACATCCTTTCATTATTATTTGAGCCAACTTGTCATGTGGTCTGGTAAAGGCTCTTGTACAGCCCAATACCAGACCACATGACAAGTTGGCTCAAATAATAATGAAAGGATCTGCTGAAATTCGAGCATGGTCTCAATAAAGCACTCGAAATAAAGGTAAATATGATAAAAAATACCAGCCAAAGAGCATTCGAGTGCGCAAAACTCTTTGTTAGGTGAAAATTTCACTTGACATAGAGTGTGAAACGTTCGTCTTCGATGACTCTCTGTAAGGGAGTAGAGCTCCCGAGACAAGTGGCTATAAAATATCGAAAGACGACGGGTTCTGCCCGACTAACGAGTCTGTAAGGACGAAACACGTGTATCGAGCTGTACAAGAGCCCTTACCAGACCACATGACAAGCTGGCTCAAATAGTAGTGAAAGGAACTTTAGTAAGCTTCGCATAACAAATAAAACAATCTTTCCATCAATCTGGACCGAGAAGTTGGCACTGAACGTGTCTGGAAAGGATCGCCTCCTCTAAACAAGT